TGCCTGATATTCCTACCCCTATGCTCACATCACCTGGGCTTTCCAGTATCTGCTCCCACCAGTCCCCTTGCTCATCCTATAGTTCAGCCACCCAGGACCTGACTGACCCTCTCTGTGCCTTTGCTTATGCTTTCCCATTACCCAACAAGCCCGTCCACACATCTTCTGAAACCAAGTTCCTTGACTACTATGAAAGGCATAGCCACCCCCATATTTATCCCTCTGTGACAGAAAGACCTATAAAGTCAGGACGAGAGACTCCGCCCCACTCCATCTGCAGAGGGACCACGACGGTAACACTTGCGGTGATTCCCCTAAGGACGGTGCAGACTTACGAGAGTATTTACAAATCAAGTGTGTGCTGCTGCGTTCAGTCTCTGTCTGCCAATGCCTGTCATCACCAACTCATTACAAATGGTGGGCAGGCCAGCGTGGAATTAGCCCATAGTTGGAGCCGTCACTTCCTGGGGCATTTAAAATGTATTTAAGCTAAACAAAGACAAAGTCAGAAAATAGTAACGACTACCATTTAGGTTACTCTATGTAATAAGCCCTAACCCTTCCGTCTAAACGTCTTTTGGTTACTTTCACTGGTAGTGCCGATTTCAGGGAGATGTCAGTCTGTGCGGGGCAGAGAAGCTTCTACTGCCTTAGAACCACCCTTGGCCCAGCAGTTGCTGTGCCCTCAGTAAACACCTCTTCACTGATGGTAAATTACAAGTTAACTCCTGAACAAAGTTTTAAAGATTAAAGTGAACCCATAACGTCGGTATTCTACATGTTGACAGTGATAGTGACAGCTAGCGATGACAGCCTTTCTTCGGCAACCACTCACTACAGCTGCTTTTCACCAGCTGGTCCAGGGCCATGGTCATTATCAAAGACTTTAAGCACTGGTGTTTTCTCGCTATTAGCTCCAATGGCACATACCTTCCCTTAGTGAGTGCCATATGCAGGTAAATTACAATTCAGATACACTGTGATTGCCATTTTTATAAGGCCATATGAATTCCTATATTTGTCCCCAAATGAAAAACACCCCTACCGGGATGAGGGGCACTTAGAAATGGCTATAAAAGGCTATAAAGTATATGATGTCTGACGCTTGATAATTTTTTAAAAGTCCAAAATATTCAACATAAAAATGTAATTCAAGCTCTTGCTATCACTCTCTATCTGGCAGATTTATGATAATGGGGCCGTAATGCTCTGAGGAGGCGGTATCCATAGCAAATAGCTCCTCAGCTGAGTGGCAGGAGGAAATGGTTCTTTATCCTCAGTGTCTGTAAAGCACCAGATGAGAGATTTTCCCCTCTTCAACACATCAGCAAATATTCCACGGAAAAAATAATCCCCAGCAAAGCTGCACCTTAAGCCTAAAAGCTTTTTAAGGAAGGTGATGCCAGCTTTATAGTACTCTCTTTCCCTCTGCAATCTACTTTCCTCATGCTCGGGGATGTCTGCTGCTCTTCTCCAGGACTCACAGAGAACTACCCCCACCACCCCTGTCACATCAACCCAGGAGAATGAGGCGTGCAGACAGTACCGATCTCAACAGAAAAGCTTCTGTCTGCCTCTTGCCAACCCTGGCAGGCATGAAGTGAAAGGAAGAACTGATGTGCATTTTGTTATACTGTGATTCTAGGACCTGTTACTGTCTCATAACCTAGCCTACTGCACATTCCCTCCCAGTGCTAAAGCTTATACCAGCTCAGACTGTGTGCAGAAGCATTGAGAGAGTGGCCTTGAGGCCTGATCTATCATTTTATCAAAAATAAAATAGTTTCTTCTTTTGCCTTGTTAGAAGCATGCAGGGTTACCACTGACTGCTGCTCTGAGTCTGAGAAGCATTCCATTCTGCTACCAAAAAGAGAAGTCAGCTAGTGGTAAAACTAAACCACCAAGTGGAAAACTAGGAATACAAGTCTAAGTTACCAGGGTCACCATAACACAGACCTTTTGGAAGTGAAATAATCAGGGTTCTCCGGAGAAAGAAAACCAACAGGCCATGTGTATGTTGGTTTGTATGTGTGCAGATTTTAATGACTAGGCTCATGAGACTGTGAAGGCTGACAGGTCAAAATCTGCGGAATAGGCCCAGGCTGGAGCCCAGGGAAGAGCTGCAGTTCTAGTCCTCTGCAAGGATTCATTGTTCCAGAAGATCAGTATTCCTCTATTAAGACCTTTAACTAAGTAGATAAGGACCACCCACGTGGGGGGGGGAGTAATTTGCTTACCTCACAGTGTACAGTTTTAATTTCACCTTAGAAATCTTCCCAGAAACATCTAGAATAATATTTGACCAAATATCTAAATATCATGACTAGCCATGTTGACACATAAAATTAACCAACCCAAGGGGCCACATTCCATTTTGTGGTAGGGTGTTGCCATCCATGAAATCATCTGCCTCCTATAAATTCTAGCTCAGTAATCCTGTAAAAACCCACCTTTCTCTCTCTCTCTCTCTGACGACAAGGAAGATTACAATGTATCTGCCTGACTACTCTGTGAGATTTGCCCTAATCGGAATTTGTTCTGAGCTTTTCTTTCTACTCTTGTAAACCACACATTTTCAAGTTCCCTAGACTAGTATGATAAAAAAGCAAAGGCACATGCATGTATTTTTTAGGACACACAGAGAAAAAAGGGAGAGCTTGACTTTTTAGGGCTGTAAAAGAGATTCTCAGCCACATATCTCCTTATGTGTCAGTAAAATGGTATTTTTTTTTTTTTCATCTAAAATGTTGTGTTTAAGGGATTTTTCCATTCCCTGATATCTGGACATATCTGAAGAGTGGGTAGAACTATTCCCTTTGCCCAAGCATTTGTTTTGATCAAGAGCAGAGTGAAGAAACCACCAGCAGACTCAGAGACAGTATGATGAGATGCAATCGTGGAAGCATGCTGCTGCCGGGCTGTGCGGAATGGAGGAAACACATTTTTACACAGGGTGTAAAAATGTTAGGATCTGTGAGAAATTTCTTCCGTTCACTCTCGTACCGTCTCTTTCTACTCTCCCTGTTCTACTAAGTGCTCTGGTGAACGGGACTTTGACTGAGCCTCTGCAGCTGGTTGTGTTCAGGCGACAGGGAGCAGTAGGATGCCTTGTTCTTTATTTTGTGGCCACTTTCTGGGGAGGTCACATTGGACCAGCTGCGTCCTTTGACCTGAGTTTCAGTCCTGGCTTCTCCCATCGCCCATGAGAACTAACGGCTCCTCAGCACCATGGCTCTGCGGCACCGCCCTTATCCCTCTCCATAACTTGGGAATATCCTCTTTTTCATCCTTTAAAATATTTTTTATCTATTTTTTATTTCTTTAAAAAAGAAAATTTTGGATGCGTGGGGATATAGCTCAGCAGCACAAGCACCTGCCTAGCAAGCACAAAGTCCTGAGTTCAATTCCTGGTACAAAAAAAAAATTGGGGCCAGGGATACAGCTCAGAGACACAGTGCCTGCCTGGCAAGTGCAAGGGTATGAGTTTGATTCCCAGTACAAAAAAGAAAAGAAAAGAAATATAAAAAGAAAATTTTGTAACAAAAAAAGAGAATAATAATGCACAGTGTATCATTATCTTCAGTTACTTAGATTATAAGACGTAGTCAAAAAAATTCTCTCTTGTGAAGAAGAAATAGAAAAATAGCACAAAACTTTCAATGAACGAAGGAGAAGCTAGTATAAATGAAGAAAGCTAATATATATATATTATATATATACAAATATTTTTGAAACAATGGAATAGGTAATTTGGAGATTTATTTGAACTTCTTGTTTATCTAGTCTCTATTTTGCTCTTTATTTGTATACATATATTTTGAGTTTCTCATATAAAAGAAATCATGAGGTCTTTAATCTTATGTATCTGATTTATTTTACTTAACAGTCTATTCTCAAATTGCTTCCATTTATCTAAATGTCTTCAAGTTTATCTTGCTTTATGGCAGAATAGTACTCCATTGCATATAAATACCATATTTTCTTTATCCATTCATCTGTTGATGGACATATAACTGTTTCCAAAATGTAACTAAGATAAAATGTGCTGCTATAAACCTGGATATGCATGTATTCTATGTAATATGCTGATTGTAACTCTTTTGGGGAAGATATCTAGATGGGGGTTAGCCGGATCAAATGAAAATTCTATGTGTAGTTTTCTGAGGCATCTCCACATTGATTGCATAGTGGTTACACTAGTTTACACTCCCACCAACAATATGGAAGAGTTACATTCCCCCACATCCTTAGCTGCATCCTAATTTGAGCAGGCTATCTGTTGCCTGTTGGGATCAATTAATAAGGAGCTCAACACATTATTTTGCTTTTTTTCTTTTTTGAAGAGTTTTTCTAAAAGTACATCCTCTAAGACACTTCTGAGTTTATCACCACAACTGAGCATATATTCTCTGATGTTACTCAGTGTTCAGTAAGCACCCTTCATAAACACCCTTCATTTAATAATTTCTTTCACCAGTTTAAAACCTACACCCATGTTCTGATGTGATGATGAGAATGATGAGAATCACATAAAATGCAGTTTCTTTTTTTATGCGAGTTCCAAGGAAACTCTGTCTAACTCAGTGGTTATCATCAGTGAGCGGTTTAGCTGAGTACATGGCAACAGTTATTCCTCTGCTTTTTGAAATAGTTTTAAAAATTAGTTCTCATCCTATTTTGCCACCGTCTCTTTTCACTGCTTTTAATCTAAAAAGTCATATAAAACCTTTTCAGGGTAATGAGAGAATACATTCCAGTTAACAAACATTTCAATATAAATATCAGGCCTGGATCAGCCTGAAGACTGAGGAAAGGCCCAAGACAAGCATTTTCAAAAGGGCAACACAAACCAATGGCCAGGAGGAAAATGGGAACCCACCTCACATACAGGTATCAAATCCATAACCTGCCCCTACTCCACACCCACTGGAAGCAGTCCCAGCCCTGGCTCCTCAGCTCCCCGCGGAGCGTAAGAGACCTTCAGGAACAGCCCGACTTACTCTTGATGTGGGGCACCTGTCTTGGTCAGCAAGGTCAGCACGAAAAACATGAAAATCACGAAAACTGCAAGACCAACCCAAAATCCAATCACAATGGAATCTGTAAGACAGTTAACAATGGGATTAGTATTTCACAGAAGTTTAATACATAAACAATCAAGAAATTTGAGTCGTTTGGTGATGCCTTGGTACACAAAATATGAGAAGATGTCCACAGCCTCACTGTAGAGAAGCAGAAAGAGGGAAGCATCTGTGGCCCCCGGGTTTCTGTATCAGGTAAAACACAGGCTTAGGCTTCCTGGACTCTTGTTTTCTACATCTCAGGGAAGGGCACAGGACAAAGTGCAGGCCACCTAGAGTCTGTTTTGCTGTCTTGAATTAGAAAATACACTATTTTGCGGATTGCTATATGAAAGTTTAAAATGAATTATTTCAATCAACCCAACTGTGCATTTTCACTTATGCTTAATTCAAGTCATGTCTTGCAAAGAACACACAAAAAGATGCAGAAGTGCTCCTTACCTTTTGCCTTTCTTTGTACTTCATCTCTACAGACCTGCTTTATTGCAACTCTCATGATCTTGCTATTTTATGAAGGATCTTTCAACAAAAATAGACCTAATCTCTTTTCCCAGATTGAGTCTCCACATGCAGACCATTTTATACAATGCCCGGTATCCTAGAACATAGGTACTGGTTTTCATTATTAGAAATACCATCTCTGTCTTCTAACTTATCCCTACTTTATAAATCCTATTTGTTTCTAATTGGACAAGAGCCCTGTGTCCTTGTATTTATCTTAGTTTTTGGCCATGGCTTTCCCACGCCCACACCTTTATAGGGGCCCCTGTCTCTGCCTGGCTGCAACAACCTTGGCAACTTGGAGCAGAGGAAAAGCCATCCGTCCTTCAGGGGCCACCCCGGAAACCATCCCCTTTGTAACACATCAGCTCATTCCCCTCACTCAGGTGATCCCGCCTTCCTTTGAGCCTCACATTTGTCTGTTTCTCTATAAACAGGCCGTTCCTTTCCTACCTTGTGTAATAGTCACAAGTACAGATGAACCCTAACTTACAATTGTTTGATTTTCCAACAGTATGGGAGGAATATGCATTCAGTGTAAATCCTACTTTAGGTTTTGAACTCTGATCTTGGGTTAGTGACCGTGATGCAGTATTCTCTCTCCTCATGCTGGACAGCACTCCCAGTCAATCACATAACCTGGTAGGGAATGAATGGTTCCTCTAAAGTGTACTTCACTAAAGAGTTAAAATGTTTGCTAGGGTAGGTATACTAAATGCATTTTAAGCTTGTGTTACATGAACTTATGAGGATATGGTCTCAATGTAAATTAAGGTGCACCTGTATATGCTTCTGGGACAAGGATTAGACTAGATTGTCCACAGAACTTGGCATAAAAACATTGAGTCATTCTGCATTTTCTTTTCTTTTCTTT